GTAAACCCTTCATGCACAAGTTGATTAACTGCATCCCTCAACTTGATGTAATCATCAACTGTATTGTAAATTTGATGAGAAATGCGAGCATATCCACTAATACACCCCAATTCATCCATATTTCCATGTGATTCCCCATCTTTTGGTCCTTCGTAATGAATTGCCACTTCTACCATAAAACGGTTTCTCAAAAAAGATCTCAAATTGAAAGCATCATCTGCACTCAGAATTCCTAAGCTTGCAGGCAAGCCAACCATAACCATGCTAGCACACATGTCTGGCGGTGACCCAAGAGATGTTCCCCAATCTGTGACTAACATTTCTCCCATTTCAACAACAGCATCGTGATTCCTCCTCCTAATTCCCTCAATGCCGCCTTCAAACCTACTAACAAATTCTAACACCTCAGGAATAACTAGCTGTGAGCTGTAGTCCCGTGTTCCAATCCATGCACTCTCGGTCGCCAGTCCATTTCCATATTCATGTGAAACCACTGGATGATGCAACTCAGCGAATACATCTGATTTTTTACAGTACAAAACAGCCACTGACGGTGGGCAGAAGAACCATTTGTGCAAATTTGTGACATAAAAATCAGCCCCGATTTCCTTAACATTCACAGGAACATTGCCTATAGCATGAGCAGCATCAACAAATACTCGCTCCACACCTTCTTCCCTGCAGAGTTTGACCAAACTACACACTGGAATTACAACAGCTGGCATTGAAGTAATGTGATCAATTATAGCCAGACGAATTTTCAGTCCATTGGCTTTGCCTCTGGCCAAGCCATCGCGAAACTTAGCAATGATTTCTTCATTGGAACTAACAGGAAATGGAAGATGCACTACAATAACAGAGCCCCCTGCACGGGTCACATATGCCTCAATTGACTTCTTAATGGCTTCAAATGCACAGTGGAGCATCACAACCGCGTCACCTTTCTGGAATCGGCCCTCCGCAAAGGCCCAGCCCACGTGTTGGAGGACAATTGCAGCCCCCGTTGTGGCATTATCTACAAGGGAGACCTCTTCAACGTGCTCAGCATTTATGAGGGTCTTGATGAGGTTGCGGGAATGGAGTATCCGTTTCTGAAGGTGGTTGAAGAAGAAGTCGTCTGGTTGCTCCAGGAAACGGAGCTGCCACCTTTTCTGGGCGGATATGATGGAGGACGGGCAGCTCCCAAACATGCCGTTGTTAATTCGAGCGATGCCATGTTTATGGTGGGCGAATTCTTGTCGGATTTCGGATTCTGAAATGAAACCAAGGGTGGAAGAAAGCTTTTGTTTCTTGAACGAATGGCTACCGTCTACGTCTTCGCGGTGGTCGTAACTGTCGCCGTTGATTCTAGGATCATCGCGAGGATCATCCATGGATGCCGAAACTAAAATTCGATCCGGTGAGCGTAGGGTTTTGGTTTCAAGACCACAACTCTGCTCCAGCCAACTGATTTCCTTATCCTAATCTATGTATGTCGTTTATTCGTCCTCTGCCAAAATACTGGAATAACAAAAACTCACGAAAATTACCCATTTTTAACGACCAACATTATTTGGAAGGATAAAGTTATTTTTACCCCAAGAATTTATATACTTCATTTTATATACCACAGGGATGTACCAATATTATGTGTTGCTGTAATGCTAATTTTTGTTAACGTACCAACATTTTGTGTCAGTATAATTTTTTGTTAACGCACCAACACTTTGTGCCAGTGTGAACCATCAAAATGTTGGTGCATACCTTTGGTGTACAAATGGGATACAAATTTTGGGGTACATGTAACATGCTCCTATTTGGAATATCACGATTGGGTGGAGGTACTTTGAATGGTCTACTGGATTTTTTGGTAAGAATTCTTATATCTAATATTTTTCAAAATATACTTTAGAGTTCTTAAATTTTGTGATATTATACTTTGACGGAACACATTCCGTCTGTTTAGGCGTTAAGATTAAATGTTTTGTTATTTTAATAAACTGAAGAATTTTATTACTCCTTATGTCCGAAAATAATTTTCTCATTCCACCTTTTTCTCCGTTCGGATACAATCTTCCATTTTTACTTTTTAACACACAAACTACCTTTCTCAAAATACCTCCACCCAATTACTCTCTTTTTCTTTCTTTCCCTTCTTATCTCGGCCAGATCTCTAGATCTGCCAGTTCTTCTACTTCTTCTCTCTCCCCCACGTCGTTCTTACTCTCTCTCTCTTCTTCTTCTCCCCCTATTCGTTCTCGGCTTCTTTTCTCCCCCCCCCCCAATTATTTCTCGGCCCTCTGCTTTATCCAAAATTGTTCCTTCTTCTTCCCCTTCTTTCTCATGTTTGCTTGATTCCCAAATCGATGGTGGTGACAAATGCGATGGTAGGGTCGGCATTGATGGTGAGGCGATAGTCGACTAGTGAAGACGGGGCATATGTTTTTCTTCTCCCCCTTAATATTTAGATTTTTTAGATCTAAGATTTTTGGGTGGGTCTGATGGTACTCGCAGTTGTGGTGAAGATTGAGGCGGTGGGGCTGTTGTTGGGGCCGATGGTGGCGGTAATGGGGGCGGATGGAGTTCATAAGAGCAAGGGGCAGTGGTAATTCCCTTATGAGGGGCATGGGCAATGCTAGCAAAAGAGGATGGTATTTTGGACATTTCCTTTCCATCGTCAACTCTCTTTAAAATGAAGAAAAGTCAAAGTAGGAAGTTTATTCCCGGACTGATGGTGTAAATCAACCACCCGGGCAAAATGTACTAGAGCGGGTCTAGAATAGTTCGCTAAGCTTACGGAAACAAAAGGCGTAGAAAACAAGGATTGGCCGGGAGGAAAGTAGGTGGAAACACCTATAGTCCAATTGTTATTAAGTATGTAGAAGAGTACTAGAAGGTATTACACAATATGCTCTAGAGGAATAAAGTTTCTTGTCCATTCATTTGAGGGTTAGAGAGGTATTTATAATGAAATGGAGGGGACAGAGCATCACGCGTCCACATCAACCCACGCTCTCAGACGACACAAGGTGACGTTCTCTTAACCTGTAGGGTTTTGTCATATTCCCTTGTCATCATGTGCTGATGATACGTCCTTTGGCACGTAGCGCCCAGCTAAGGATGTTTAGATATTCTCGTGATCTTTCATTGAAATTTGGTCACTACTGTCCGACCGACTTTCTATTTGTGCCGACACTTTCACACCATAGTAACCTACCTAGCAGGTTTACCGGCCCTACATTCTGAAGGGGTAGAAGACCACCATCATGAAGTCACGTACTCTGATCGGTAGGTCTACATTTTGTACCTTTTTCGAACCTGACCGGTGGTCTATTTTTAGTTTAAATCTTCCATTCTGATATGTTTGAATCAGACCGATCAGCTGTTGTGGACCTGGATTTGGACCTGGTCCTGGGTGGAATACACTAATTAATAAGCCCTCAACTTCTTGGCCTTATAAATTTATCAAGGGCAGAAAGTGAAAAATTAGAATCTGGCACTTGAAATTTCAAATTTAAGCTTTTCCCACCTAGATTTTGGAATTTGAATTATAAAAATCAACATTTCGACATCTGTCACGCTCTTACCATACACCATCATTATGTTCTGCCTATCATTTTGTCTTCCTATGTTCCACGCGTTCACCAGCTGACGCCTCGCTTCCTCTTCCTACCACGCATTGCGCTATCCTCCTCCTCCTCGCCTATATCAAGGCTTTCTTCTTCTTTCTTTAGTTGACTTTTTGCAAATCCACTCGAATTCTTCCCGGTCAAGTTCCTTCTCAGCCCTCTGAGTCTTCTAAATTCTAAGTAAGTTCCCGATTCTTCTTTGCCTTTCATTATTTGTTATGTCTTTTGAGGATAGCAAAAAAGGTTTCCGCTACCTCATATGCATCTGCATGCGAGGATTTCATCCCGTCTTCTTCTTCTTCTTCTTATTCTTCGTCTCCATCCCGTGAGGAGCCGGTTCCCGAGGGTTCTGTTTCCCAATCCCGCTCCTATCAACTAGGAACCGGGTCCCTTTGACCCGGACAATGAGACTCAGGAGGAATGGGAACACCGCCTCTGGGAGGCAGGTTATTTTCCCCTCCCTTCCGATAATGTTAGGGAAACCCCCACAGTCGTTTCCAAAGGTGCTCTAAATAAATCCATGGTTGCTCCCTGGGGGTTATACTCTCCCGTATAACCCTAACTTGCCCAACATCATTGACCCACACCGTAGAACTAGGGTAGGGTTTCACATCAAATCCTTGGAGGATAGCATAGTTTTTCCTCTCCGCCCCCTCCTAGTTGGGGTCTTCCATGTCTTTTTTATTTTTCCCGGGCAGATAACCCCAAATGCCCACCAAATATTAAACTACTTTGTAAATATTTGTGAATTCCTTCAAATAAATCCATCTCTTCCCCTCTTCGTCTTTATGTTCGAAATCCTCCCCGGTAAAGCTGAATGTGAGGGTTTTGTTTTCTTCAAATCTCACCAAACCCGAGCGTTCATTTCCGATCTCCCCCAAAGCACCTGGGGGTGGAAAAACCATTTTATTTTCATTGACTTCCCAGAAGTTGATTTTACGCTGGCCGGTTTACGATGGAATGATCACCTGTTAAACCACGAGTATGCCCTACCGGCCAGTACTGCGCAGTTGGAAGCGGACTGCAAAAAACTCCTGCAGGGTAATCCCCATATCGGGGTTAAATTTTCCTTCAGAAGCTGGGTTCAGAGAGTTAACCGAGGTGGTGAGGGTACCTCGAAGGCCCGGCTGGAGGAGAAAGTGAAATAAGGGGTACCCGGCTTGTTGAAAGATGAAAAAACATGTTATCGAATTGCTAAGGCCCAGCAGCTAGCTAACAGACCGGACAAGGTCACTTTAAGAGATCATTTGCTATTTCATATAGATCATTCTCAAAGGAGAAAAGACACACACTTGGAAAGAAGTTAGAAAAAGAAAGATATGCAACACAAGTAAAAAATGCACACCGGGTGAATGACGAAAAAGCATTCACATTCAAAATGTAAGAGTTTGAAGTCGTTACAATATGCCCGGGGAAAATACATTAAAGACAACAGAAAGAGAAAACTAATCTAAGGGGAAGGGGGTGCCGGTTCATCTTCAAGGATTAGAGGGAGACCATACCAAGCTACAGGGAATTCTAGATCCCGGGCTGCAAGGATGCATTGGTCGCCGCCTGGTCTTTTTTTGGCCCATCTTGAAGCCAATGGTGCCCACTGTGGTGATTATCTTCCCTCCTTCCTGCTCCCGGTAAAGAAGCTAGAAGGACTCCATTGTAGCTTCCGGGGTAGATGTCAGGACCCAGGCGACTTCAGTCTTGTTCTCCTCCACCCACACCCGGGCCCAACCAAGCAGCTCCCGCTCCTTCAACTCCAGCACCTCTTTTAGCTGGGAGACCTCATCCATCAACCGGGTATTCTCCTTCTTTAGGTGCAGATTTTCAGCCCCAACCGTGCCAACAATTTTGGTAAGCTTCGCTAGCTCATCCGTTTGTCTCATGATCACGGACCTTAGCTCCCGGGCCCTTTTCTCCCCTTCTGTCACTTTCTCCTCCAGTCGGGCAATCCTGGAGGGAGAGCCTCCGTTTAACTGATCAGCAACATATGGCCCCACCTCACCAAGCTTCAAAATCATAAAGAAGAAACTTGTGTCGCATAAGAAAAAGGTCAAACACAAAAGATGGAAGTACCGGGTAGGGGAAAGGACTTACCTCTTTCAGCCTGAGGCCTAGCTGAACCCACAGCTCCTCCACGGAAGGAGAACCCAGTTGGCTATCCCCCCTCTTCCGCTTAGCAGAGGGATGGGTGGTGGCCACTTTCTTCACCCAGGGCTTTTTCCCCTTGTCGAGCGAGGGATTCTTCATTGCCTCCTGAGTCGGCTGGGTCTCCTCTTCAACGAGAATCTCAACGGTCTCGGGTTAGACCATGAAGGTTTTGGTAGAGAAAGCCGGCTAAGAGCCGCTTGGCCAGCTAGACCAGTCATTGTTGGAATGCCGTGAGAATCGAACTCCATATCTGAAAGGTTAAGAGAAATTGGTTAAGTATTGAATAAGATATTGGTACAAAAACAAAATGGACTATAACAATGAAATCAAACCTGAGCGATATGGGACCCGGCCTCTGCAATGTTGCCTTTCTCACCTCCTGGCATTCTTTGGTCCTGACCCGCATTCCCTACTACTGAGACCTATGCACAGTCTACCGCAGCTCGTCTCACTCAGAATCCAACATACAACCGAGGGTCAAACCCGCGAAAAAGTGAGAGTCAAAGCTAGATTCACGACCGCCAACAATGAGGAACTCCAGCGCGCACCTACGCCATGCAGGGACGAACTAAAGTGAATAGGAATGTCATCCTAGGTATGTTCTCACTATTTGATACTCACATGCTAGCACTTATTGATCTGGATTCAACGTTATCCTATATTTGTATCCATATGCCAGATAAGTCTAACATTCTTAACCAAAAAGTTAGTGGACAAAGTAAAATCTTCAAAGTTAACATTATGACATATCCTGACTAGGTATTGTCACGTTTTACTAAGTGGATAAAACCATACCTTATAAGGCTGGATCGTATGTGTCCAAGTGCATGAGCCCACAAATAATCATACCATAATGTGCACATGAGAACCCAATGATTACCCCGTGGGTCTAGGGTTCACTTTTGATTACTAGACCCGAGGTCACGGGGAGGTATCCGTAATAAAACTATGTATCAACTAGTGCGGGATTCCAGCCTAGACACAGCTTAGTCTGTAATATGTCGTTAACCTAGTAGGTCAAGAGTTTTCTAAATGTCCCCAAGTAATTGTTCAAAGTGAGATTTTTTTCCCTTAATGATTTTAATTATGTGAAAAGCTCTTAAAACTTGAATAACTTAAAATGGCCAAAATATATGTACATGTTATATATGTCTACTGGTGATTTCCCACTCGGCTTTATGCTGAGCGTGTAGTGTTTAACTGCACAAAGGTACTAGTAAGGGGAACAACTGCTGGGGAGAAATGGCAAAGACATGGAGGCCGTGCCGGAGTAACTATTTCATATTTAATAAGGAATAAACTGTTGAACTTAATTTACGTTGTTTTGGGCTTGAACCCAAGGTTGTATTTACTGTGGATGTTTTCACTTTAAGCTTATGCGAATAATCATGAACTCCTTAATTATCAAAGGAGAATTTATTTCAAACAAAATATTTTACAAGGTAAACCTAGTTTTGCTAGCACTTCGGTTTGGGTTACTTAGGTAACCCAGGGTGGGGTGTTACATGTTTTCGTTGATTGATTCTCATATGCTTGCACTAATTTATCCAAGATCCATGTTATCATATGTTTGCAATCTAGAGTATCCCATGATAATATCTAATCGTTAGGGCACAACATGCGACTACACCACCTATACCATAACTATCCGCTGATGGCTAAGGGACATTGTAACGCCGTGAAATTAGGCCTATCAGAATTAATTAATTGATAATTAATTAATTACTGAGAAGGACCCAAAAATAAGTGAACTATAAAGTTTATCAATAATTAATGAAAATTATATCGTTGTGTAGAGTTTGACTGTCTGACCCCAACGGTTAAATTGGATTTCAATTTGGAGAAAGTTGGACCAAAAAATGTACCCCGAGTGGGACCAGAAATTAATCCCAATCAGGGACTACATTCCAATCAGCGCTTACTGTACAAACGGCGCACTAGCCGATTTTGGTGACTCAGGAATATTTCATCAATGTCTTCTTCTTCCTTCCTCTATTTAAGAAATCCTAACTTCCTCAATCCTCCACCAAATCATCCCAAATTTCCTTCTATTCTGCTGCCCTGAGAGAGGAGAACACACTAGTGCGTTCAAATTCGTAAGACGTTGCCAGAGTTGAGAGCTTTTGTTGCCGGAAGTTTCACCGTCTTTCCGCCGAAATCATCGTTTAACATTAAGGTAAGCCCGTCGATATATCTAATGACTAGAATGTTCATATAGGTCGTTTCTATGTTCATAGATGGTCATTTGGTTGAGTTTTATGTTTGACATGCTTGAAGAACTAAGAATCAAAAACCTTGAATTTGTTGTTAAAACTTCGAATTAATGGTATTTAAATGATCTATGAACATTGGAGAACATTTCTATATGGTTTAATTGAAGATTGGTGACTTAAAATGATGTTTCGAAAATTTAACCCGAGGTTGAAGATGAAGCACTGTTGCTGATATACAGCAACGGTCGACCGTTCTGTCACCACGGTCGACCGTTCTAGGACTAGAAGCTTTATTCCCACGGTGGCATTTACGGTCAACCGTCGCCTAAAAATGGTCGACCGTTCCGAAGACAGTCAGCTGCAAAAAATGCTATTTTTGAGTTCTAAAATCCTATTTTTGATACCAATTGATTATGATCATTATAAAGATGATTTTTCATGATAAAAATGATGTTTTGACAACTAAGAGAACGTTACGTGATGCATGACGGTAAGCTAGGGTGTTAACACTCGACGCTAGGCCGCTAATTGTTATTGAATATTATGATGATTATTGTTATGGATGATTATGATGTTTTGATGATGAACCTACTGATTAAAATGATTATTGTGAATGATTTAAAAATATGATTTGTAATGATTACATTGATGATTATGAAATGATTTGGATTGATGAATTGTGTTGTTAAGGATACCTAGAAAAACTCTAGGATATACCCATTTGGAAATTGATGATGAACTATTAAGGATATCTTGAAAAACTCTAAGATATATCTCTATTGATATTGGTTTCTAATACTATCTAGAAGACCTCTAACATAGATTAGAAATAGGCCTTGCGAGTATGATGCCCGGTGGCTAGGGTTAAAACGTATGTGCGGGATCCAAAAACCAAACTTGAGTACCTACTCGTTTGGGGGTACCACCCAACCCAACAGTGAACACTACCCTGTCAGTTTTTGGTTGACCTTAAGCAAAGGTAAGTTTAAGATTTGAAAACTCTTTTTAAAAATATATATCTTAAGCTAGGCCTAGCTTAAGGATTAGAATATCTTCAAGGATGGAATTGGCCTTAGACTAATATTAGTTTAAGGATATTGTTGAATGTTGAATATTGAATATGATTATGATGAATATTGGGTATTTAATGATGAACGTTGAATAATGAATAATTACTTGCATGATATCAAATGGTTAAATTATGAATTGAGATTCTATTTATATGGATGTTCGATGTTTTAGATATGCTTACTCAGCTTCACCGCTGAGCGTGTAGTGTGTTTTATTTGCTACACGCAGGTAGGCAGAATGAATGGTTGGCATATTCCTGGAAGTGAAAGGGGCGAGACAGTCGTGGTGGATTATTGAATGAAATAAATAATTATGTTGTTATGAGACATATTTTCAAGTCGCTTCTGCATTTTATTTAAACACTTTGTATTTCCTCTATAGTTATGTATGGAATATTATTTATAATGAATAAAAATGTTTGAAATGTTTTAAATCATCACGATTACCAAATCAATACTTCTAGTCCGAAAGCGGCTGCAGACCTAGACAGATTAGGGTGTTACAGACATTGATTATCCGCGAATCTAATCAAGTTAGCATACAAGGAGTTTGATATTATCCTTATTATGGACCGGCTGACTGTGCACCAAGCAATAAATGACTACGTACTATACGGTTGTTCCCTAAGCCACCGGATTTCATGTCGTTTATGCAAGCTAAATGACTCATTCGAAAGACTCCCCCGATGTATTTCCCGACAACCTTCCTGGTTTGCCAGCGCTGATGCAGGTGGAATTCTTGATTGATTTCATTTTGGGGATGGAGCCAATCTCAGCGACACCTTACCGCATGGCACTTGCGGAGATGAAAAAGTTGAGGGCTCAGCTTCAAGAATTGTTGGACAAGAGATTCATCAGGACGAGTGTGTCCCCTTGGGGAGAACCAGTCCTTTAGATCACCTAGAAAATTTTTGGCTCAACCTAGGCATATGCATAATCCAAACGTAGTATGCCATTATTGTTCTAAGATAGGACACATAGCTCCCGTTTGTTTTGCTAAACATAGGGACACTTCTTATAATCATAATTATGATTTTTATTTGCCTAACCCCCAAGGACCTAAAAGCCATTGGGTACCTCAATGGTATTACTAGATACACAAAAGGGTGTGCTTGAAGACTACAAACCTGTAGTGGATGCTCCAAGCACGGAACCCAATGAACCGCATCAAGGGGGAAGCTCGTTTTACAATATTGTTGACAATTGATGCTCCAGGACATTTTCAAACATCGATGTTCAGTATCAAACATCAATGTTCAAGGAGTTCTTTTTTTTACAACTTTTTGAAGTGCTTTTTGCTAATGTCAAAAGGGGGAAGATATAAAGGTTATGCATAGATTGAGGGGGAACTATTTCTAAATTGCATTTATTAAGGGGGAACATTTTTTAAGTCTCAAATCAATCCTCCTATGCATAACCCCATCTTGTTTTCCATTATCAAAAAGGGAGAAATTGTTGAAACACGGGTTTATCACGTTTTCGTACTAAAGCCGTGTTCGTTGTTATGACAGGTTTTGATAATGCCAAACCGCCGTGAACGAGACAAGTCATTGAATATACAAGGCGAGAACCAAAGATGAGAAGAAAGAGAACAAGGGCCAAAAGAAGACCAAGAACGAAGACCGTAGTCTTAGTGTCGTTGAGTCGGTCACAATTGTGATCAAGACCGACCCAATCTTTACACCTTGGCTCTTTAGGCTAAAATTCTTTTCATTGCATTTCACATCATAAAAATATTTTTCAAACATGTTTAAAACTTTAAAAACACTTGGTGTTCGCCCAAACCAAAAACCAAGCCATCCGGCGTTCGGGTTTCAGAAACCGGCGTTCGGCATTCGGTTTTCGGCGTTGGTGTTTGGCGTCCGAACTAACCAAGTGGTTTTCAACTTTTTATGATTGGTTTTTACTTCTGGGCACATTTAAATAGTTTTCCATCAAAAACACTTCAAAAACCACCTTTCGTTTTTTGTCGTTTGATAAAAACCATGCGAAACGGTATAAACTTGGCTAGCCGTGGTTTTTACTTAAATGAAGTGGTTTTCAACTATTTTGTGTAGGAATTGTTTTTGAATGCATTTAAATGGTTATCCAATCAAAACATCATGAAAACCACCTTTCGGTTTTGTCTTTTGGTAAAAACCACCCGTGTACGACATTGACTTGGTCATCTGTGGTTTTTACCTTAACGACGTGGTTTTCAACATACAAAGCTTATTTTGAAATCAAAATACATTAAATAAGTGTTTTAAACACTTATTTTTTAGTTTGGAGAACTTTGCATTTTTCGATCGGGTTTCAGTGCCGGTCGGTTAAGCCATGGTTCTGGACTAGCCATCTACCCAGCGATGGTAGATTTCACCCATGCATGGGAAAGTGATCCCGGGATTCCAGAATCATTTCACCCAGCGATGGGAGATATTACCCATCGATGGGTATGCAGCCTTCAGCCCAATTGAATTCCAGAACCATGCCAAACAGCGATGGGAAGCTCTACCCATCGCTGTTCAAGCCTTGGTCCAACATTATCACAAGGCAGAATGCCCTTACCCAGCGATGGGAAGCTTTACCCATCGATGGGAACCCAGCGATGGGAAGGCTTAACCATCGATGGGAAGGCATGACCGTTGGAAGTCATTTAAGGCTGATTCTTTCCTTGTTTAGAAGTCAACTTCCCACCCAGCGATGGGAAGCTTGTAACCATCGATGGGTAGGTGACCGTTGGCTTCAAAACTGAAGGGAAATTGGCTTACCAGCGATGGGTGAGTCCAAACATCGATGGGAAGCCAATATCCTACAGATCCCAAATTTATTCAATCCCATAAATCAAGCCAATCACCCCTTTAATGTATTGGTCCGTTGGAGCCTTTTTTGGCACCTTAAAAAGGGGTGTTTGGGTCTGCTTTACACATCAAATTCACTTCACTTTATTCATATTATCATTGCATCCAAACAACATTATTTTCCATAGCTTTCTAGAGCCAATTTGTGAAGTTTGAGTTGTTCTTGAGCGTATATAGTTTACTCAACATCTACTCTTAAAGAGAGTCTTGTTCTTGAGTGTTCTTAGTGTTGTAAACACGTTTAAGGAAGCTTGTTTCCCTTGGTTGTACGAAGGAAAGGTATTTTCCTTCGGGTTGAAGTCTTGGAGTGCGGTATCTCCGAGCAAGTGTATTGAGGCTCGTGGGACTTGAGTTCTCAGGTTGTAACAGTTTGTTAAACACCCGTAAGCTTAACGGAAGTAGTGTAGCTCGAGAGAGTCTCTCGGGAGACTGGACTAGCCACACGTTGTGGTGAACCAGTATAAATCTTGGTGTTCTCCCTTTACTCATTTTTATTCCGCTCTTTACTTTATCCCTGCGATTTTTATTCCACGAAAATTTATAAACATTCTCGTGTCTCACTATTCACCCCCCCCCCTCTAGTGAAGGGCACTTATTCTAACACGTCTCCTTCTCCAATTCGAACTTCCCCAGCTGTATTCATTTGGGTCGGTCCAGGCCCAAGCCTTTGGGCTGGCCCAGGACCAATGCACACACATACGGGTACCCAAGCGCCTCTTGGGCACGAGATTTGGGCCTCCTGTTAGGTATCCGCCCATCAATAACAAAGGAAAAAAATATATCTTCTTAAAGATGTCACCTGAAAAACGGTTAAGTTGGATAAACCACAAGCTGAGAGGATAAAATGAGAAGATATATTAGAATGAATGAAAGGATTATGTGACTTTATTTTAAATGTGTTATTTGACTTTATTTTCGCTGAGAGTTAAGAGTACTCTTGTTTATTAAATTGTTTTTAGGTTCTTGTGGTTTATTAAGTTGTTCTAAAATATATTTGGTTTAATATCTTCCTATGGTTCATATACACTACTATTGTAGTTTTGTATTATACTTCTCGGCTGGGTTCAACTGACATTTGCTCTAAATGTCATGGTATGACCTTTTAAATCTAAGCCCTTGGATGTAATAACTTTTTAAATCAACGGATGAGATTAAATCATCACATTTTAGTGTTAGAAAAGGTGTGCAACTCTAGAGGGGGGTGAATAGAGTTGTTGAGAATGTTTACCGATTTTCACAGAATTAAAAATATAAACGTAAGTGCAACGGAAATAAAAGAGAGAAGGCAAAGAACACACCGATGTATATTGGTTCACCACCTCGTGGCTAGTCCAGTTCTCCGAGAGACTCTCTCGAAGCTATCACTACTTCCGTTAAGCTTACGGGTTCTTAACAAACCGTTTACAACTCGAGAACTTGAATCCCACAAGCCTCGACACAACCGCTTGTAGATATGCCCTCTACAAGACTTCACAACCAAGACTTAAGTCACATAAGTCTTGAACAACAAGAAGAACAAACTTCTTCAACCTCTCAACATAAACTCTCAAAAGAGTAGGAATGAGAAAATGTTTAGCTCTAATGGATGACAAGAAACCTCTTAATAACAAATAGTTTTCTTTCAAAATAATATAAATTTGAGGAAAGATTGATAGAGGATTAACACCTCAAGAATGAGAAGTATTGGAGTGTTTCTTGTTATGAAAAATGACCAAGGAAGTGTGTTTAAATAGGAGGTGGAGAAATATATCCGTTGGTCCAAGAAAAGAAGCTCGGATGAAAAATGCAGCATAATAATCGATTAATGCACTAACAGTAATCGATTAATGCAGTCTGCGAAGAGAAAGATAATCGATTAATGGAAGATAAAAAATCGATTAGTTGGCTCTGCCAGCCTTAATCGATTAAATGAAGAAAGAAAATCGATTAATGTTCCAGCCCAGGTAATCCAACGATAAGCAATTAATCGATTAAATGAAGACGAAAAATCGATTATTAACGAAATAATGCGCAAACACAAAGGGCCCAAGCAGTTGCGATTGGCAGCCTATTGGCTTGATACTTGTTGTTTGAGACAACGGGAATCAGGGAGCGCTCCTCCTCTCTATTCAATGAATTTGAATAAGTGAGTAAAGTGAGTCCAAAAATTATTTTGTGTGTCAAACGATGTACACGAAAAATATTTGAATAAAATATTTTTGCTTACCAAAAATATTTTATAATATCAAAATAAATATTTGATAAATGTTTGACACACTTTTTGTAACTGACTCAATAAAACTATTTTGAACAGTTAAAAAGATTTTTCAACTGACTCTAAAAATAAATATAATTTTTATTTTAACTCTCATAAAGATAATTTTGGAGAGAAGATATTTTTGTCATCCTTACAAATATTCCTACGACTCAAATAAATAAAAAAAGGTCTTCGGAAATCTTCTACTCCTCCGAGTCCTCCGTTAGGCGCTCTGAATGCGTCTCGAACTTCAACAAAATCCTGTGCACCTTCTTGAATATTTCAAGGAATGGCACTTCAAGTCTTCGTGTTTGTTGTTGTAGCACTTTAATCTTGACTTGAATAAATTGTGTTTGTCAATTATCAAAACTTGTGAGTCAACACTAAACAACACAGAAAGGGTTGAACTCATGCATTCCAACATATATATTTACTTCACCACAAATTAGCGGAGCCGCCTCATCCATCCGTCTCTGCTTCTCTCGTCTCTGGCAATCTCTTACGCCGATTCCACTCCCTGTCTGCAATCACTCTCGCGACGGAGGCTTTGCATCTCTCCCGGTGCCTTTGCATCTCTCCCGGCGAGGTAAGTTCCCCACACCCTCTCCTCTATTTTGACTTACTTCGAGATGGCCCAAATTTGTTTAACCCTAGTTACTTCCCCACACCCTATCTGTTTCTGATTCAAGGTTTAATTTATCTAGAATGTTGAGGGAACCATCCAACATTCAATTTGTTCTTGGTTTGAATTTTTTTAATTTCCATTTAGTTGAATTTGGTTTTATTTTTTTTTTGACGGAAAACCCCAATGTTGAATTCATGTGTGCGCTTTCAAGAACTAAAAATCCCATTTTGGTGCAACTAAAAATGTATTTACAGTAAATGAGATTATGTTCGAATTTACATTAAATGAGATTATTCGAATTTACAGTAAATGAGATTATGTTTATTTCTTGCTCTCTCTGGTTTATGGATGCTTCAATGTTGAATTTGAGTTTGTTCTTGGATTACATTTTTTTGAGTTCTAGAAAAAAAATCTAAAGTATGTTTTTTTAAATTTGTTCTTGTAGGACATCGATCGATCACATCCATGTAATGGAGTTGATGTGTGTTGATAAGCTAACGCCATTACAAATTTCTGACATGAGCACTTCCGATCCAAACATTGGTTTTTGTGAGTCGTTATCAACGCCAAAAAAAGTAAGAACTGCAGTGCATGATGACAACATTCCTAAGGTTGAAATGACTTTTGCAAGTGTTAAGGAATTTGAGGAATTCTACAAAAGTTATAGTTTGTGAAATGGTTTTTATACAAGAAGGCAGAGCAGTGTATGAGATGAACATCGTAGATGGGTGTGCCGAGCTGTGGGATTTAAAGATGTCCGGAAAAAAGTTCCGGATGACAGTCAAAAGAAAAAAAGGAAAACATCGTCCATAAGAGTAGGGTGCAAACACACAATTAGTTTGAAGTTTGATCCTAAACTTCAAATGTGGATTATCTTGTCATTTGAGGCCAAACATAATCACGCGGTGGTGACTCCGAACAAGGCTCATTTCGTACCGACAGGACAAGCAGTCGAGGAGAGTGGGCAACATGTGATAGAGTTATTTAAAGATCATGGCATACCAATTGGAAAAGTAGCGACATTGTTTGGGAAGGGGCGTTTTAGCAAGCCGAATTGTTACAATCACATGCGAGATGTACGGTCTAAGATTTTGGAAGTTGGTGATGCCCAAGGAGTTTTAGAGTATTGTGAAAGCCAAGTGGAGTTGGATCCTAGATTCTTTTATCGAATGCAAATCGATGATGAAGGGAAGATGTCTAATTTTTTTTGTGTGGATGCCCGTTCTAGGATGGCTTATAAAATCTTTGGAGATGTCATAGTCTTTGATACAACCTATCGGACCAACATGTATGAGATGCCTCTAGCACCCTTCACTGGTGTTGATAATCATAAGAAAAATATTTTATTTGGTTGTGCTTTGGTTATGGATGAGCAGCAAGACACTTTTGAGTGGTTATTTCGTACATGGCTTGAGGCTATGGAAGGGAAAGAGCCAATTTCCATTATTACGGATCAAGATAAGGCCATTTCAAATGCAATCCATGTTGTCTTTCCATCCGTTCGACATAGATTTTGTATTTGGCATATTCTTAAGAAGTTCCAGGAGAAACTTCCTCCTGCTTACAATAAAAGTAAAGAATTTAAAAATGAAATGCAAGCAATCATTCGAAGATCATTGTCAGAATCTCACTTCATTGAGCAATGGTCTGAAATAATTAAAAAATATGACCTGTTAGAGAATTCTTGGCTCAAAAAGCTATTTGACATGAAAAAGGAATGGGTTCCAGTGTTCACAATGGATACTTTTTTCGCAGGTACAATTTATTTATCTTATTCCACATCATAACTTTAATCTACATTAGTCAAAAATCATTTTTTTCATATCTTTATCAGATTTTTTTATACAGGCATGCAAGCAAGTCAACGAGCAGAGAGCATGAACTCCTTATTCAGTGCTAAAGTGAATGCGGGAACATCACTACAAGAATTTATTCGCTAATATGAAATTGTTATGGAAGATCGTTAGGAGGCGATGCGACGTGAAGATTTCGAAAGCTGACACAAGACAAGGAATTGTGATCGCAACTCATACCTCGAAGATCATGCAGCTGAGGTATACACTCGTACTATATACCTTGAATTTTATTCATAATTGTCCAAAGCGGAGAGGTATAGGTGCATCAAAGTTATTGATTTTGTCGTCCCTGATGAGGAGTACATTGTGCGACATGTGACAGACCCAAAAGAATTTTACACCGTGAACATAAGTGTAATTTCTGTTGAGGATGGAAAAGTTCATAATGTGGGATGCTCGTGCGGCCTCTTTGAGTGGAATGGTTTGTTGTGTCACCACATTATAAAGTTATTTAATTGCTTCACTGTGGTCCGCATTCCTGATAAGTACATTTTGAAACGATGGTGTAAAGATGCTAGTCGGCCTTTAGATGTGTTTTCAAATCTACGTGCAAAACAGAAAGGCGAAGTAGTAAAGAGGGTGTTACATATTTAGCCTAAGAAATTGCAAGCGTGGCAAGCAAGGATGATGGCACATATCAATTCACCAAGTCTTTATACCAAGAAAATCTGAGCAGAATTTTAAGTTTTATACATGCAAGTGAACAAGAGCAGCGTACTGGTGATATTGCGATTGTTTCGGGTGTAGGTTCTAGTCCTACATTACTTGAAAGTCAGACTACACAACCAAGCGTTCATGTTATTCTTAACCCTAACATTTCCAAGACCAAGGGGAGAAAGAATTAGAACAAAAGGTGGAAATCAAGCCTAGAAGTAGCAACAAGTGGCCAATGTCGGTGCGGTATTTGTCGAGCAATTGGACACAACGCAACCACTTGCAAGGTATGTAATTGTATCAAGTTATGTATATTACTTTCAAGGTATGTAAATGTATCCACTTATGTATGAATTTTACTATTTAACATATTTTTTTGCAGAAAAGAAATGATGAGGCTACTGTTCCAGATCCAACCAGAGAACAAGAATGAGTGGATTTAGAGGGCACAATTTTCATGATTTCTTGTTATGTATTTCATGCAATTCTTGTTATGTATTTCATGTCTTGAGAATTCCTTTCATTTGTGAAAATAATTTGAATGTATGTTGACTTGGTGATATTTAAGATTTGATCAATCTTTGGGCTTTCATAAATAATTTTTTATCATAATATTTGAGATTTGGTCACATTCAGTTTTTTAATCAAATTAGCGGTGCTCAATTAGACATTAATTTTTTGTTGTGATTAGGTGATGGTTCGTTTTGCAGTTTGATAAATCTTGGGGTGCAAAAGCTAACGAATGCAGTGACTAGTGTTTGGTGCCACTAAATGCTAAGTATATGAAAATAAAATATGGGATGTGAAGTCCAAAATTAGGCATACCAAATTGCCTTTATTTTAATGCTCCATTAGTGGTGTTTACTCTTTTTTTCTTCTTCCATCCTACAGCCACCCGAAAAGCATCTCAAACTGGACATTAATGCTACCAAGCTGTTGATACAAAATTGCACTATGAAGTGGTTCCTCTTAGAACCAACTCAAACTGGACATAAATCTATAGCATGCACTTGACATAAATCACACCCAAACGATACAATAGAGGAATAAATCAACGATACAAAAAGTACATAATTCCACACTACAACCACCGTGCATAGTACGTCCAACGTGCATTTTACATCCATAGTAACGTCTAGTTCATTACATCGAACTTTCAATTCACAAGATTTTGGTACAACAACAATGCTACCAATATTGCATTCTTGGACTGTACCTCTCTTTCAGGAACGTTGGCATCTATTACTTCTCTTTGTAAGTTCATGATAAGGCCTTGAAACTCCCTGGCAGTCTCATTGCTACTCATGGTGGCAGTGTCCTTAGTCTCTTCACATTTGTCATGTAGCCACTTAAAGAACGAACAATCTGATACATACTCTCCAGTGGGTACGTAATTTCAGACATGCATAGAATTTGTCTCCAAATGTCTTACGGGACTATTATTATTATTATTATTATTATTATTATCATTATTATTATGGTAAGGAATTATTTATAGTTAGTTAACTATTATTAGGAAATATTATATTTGTTAGGTGATTAACTAGTTTCCTAGTTCATTTAGTTACCTTTTATAATTAGGATTATTAATTATTTAGTTACCATTTACTATTGAGATTATCTAGAGTTAGAGCCTATAAATGTATTCATCACCATAGTTTTATCAATGAATGAATAAAGAAAATACTTTCTCCTAAACCTTAATCTCTTTCTTTCTCGCCTCTTTTGTTCTTAGAGCTCGAAGGTGCTTGAAATTATTCCCTATCCCGATACGATACCGTATCAATTGGTGCTTTCATTCTTGAACTCGCCCAAAAAATACAAAAAAAAAATCTACGGCACACGCAATGGATTCTCTGTTGGACAAAGTTCTTGGTTTACTCGAGAAAGTTCTACGGGGACAAATTGAATTTTATGAAGGCGTGTGTGCAGTTGAAGATTCCGTGGATGAAATTATAAAGAAACTTCAGGTATTCCGTCCAATTGGAGGTCAACCAAAATTTGATTCCGAGGTATGTGCGTTCTCTGTAGAGGCCTTTTGCTCAATACAAGATTTAGTTCGTGGTCTCCCAATTATGCCAAGCCTGATTCCTATAGAGTTATACATTTTCAAAACAACCATGATGCGCTCTATTAAGAAACTCATCAGCACTCCATGAGATTCGACCCTTCTTGTACCTGTGCAAAACACAACTTTGCAAGACCAGGAATTTAAAAAGAAAATTTTTATTGATCCTATTGGTGTTCCTGATGATGATTTTATGATAGATCCCATAGATGTTGTTCCTGTTGCCGTTGTTGATGTTGTTGTTGATGTTTTTTGTGACGATCAACGAGACCGCACTATCTAAGCAAAATATTCAAGCGATGGTATTATTTTTTATGGATGCACGGAAACATTTGGGATGTCAGAAAGTGACGTTGTTGTCCTTTATGATTCTAGGGATGTTACGCGTGCTAGCAATATTTTCTTCTCATTGGTTCTCTGGAGTTGTTTGCTAGGAGTTGTGAATGCTTTGAGCTTGGCCGAATCTTTTGATGCTCCATTCATAAAGGTCTTTGACCCCGGAGGATGTTCGTTCACAACGCATGATTCCTTGTTTTTTGTAGATTTCCAACTTGAGCACAAGTTGGTTTTCGAGGCGGGGAGAGTGTTACACGACTATTATTATTATTATTATTATTGTTGTTGTTGTTGTTGTTGTTGTAAGAAATTATTTATAGTTAGTTAACTATTATTAGAAAATATTATATTTGTTAGGTGATTAATTAGTTTCCTAGTTCATTTAGTTACCTTTTATAATTAGGATTATTAATTATTTAGTTACCATTTACTATTGAGATTCTCTAGAGTTAGAGCCTATAAATGTATCCATCACCATAGTTTTATCAATGAATGAATAAAGAAAATACTTTCTCCTAAACCTTAATCTCTCTCTTTCTCGCCTCTTTTGTTCTTGGAGCTCGAAGGTGCTCGAAATCCTTCCCTATCCCGATACGATACCGTATCAAAATGATTGTGCTTGGCGTGACATACATAGTGTCGTAGTGTGTCCACAATAACAATTAGGTCTTGAAGTTAGTGACTGCTCTTCAGAAGTAACCTCATAGCTCATTTTCTTCGCTCCACTTAAAGTGAACATCAAAATGTAAGATAAAGAACAAGAATGAGAACAAATTCAAAAACAAACATACTTTAGACTTTTTTTCTAGAACTCAAAAAAATGTAATCCAAGAACACTTGTTATTAACAGTGTCCTAAAATGGAGATGACAATATTTGATACATATGAATGCACCCACTTTGGCTATAGAGTATAGACACCCAACACCAAACGAATGATTCTTGATTGTAATTAAATCAGATTGGCTCCATAGCATTTTGGACAGTATATACTACTACCCTAGCCAAAAAACTCTTGCAGCTCTAAATGCATTATTAAAAAAAATACTCCCTCTGTCTCGGAAAAATATGAGAGTTTTTGTATTGGAGAGAGATTTAAGGAGAATGTATTTTGGAATTGAATTTCTAAAAATGTTCTTTGATGTGATGGGTAAAAGTATGATTTGATGGATAGATTATTAGTAAAAAGGTATGATGTGATAGGTAGGGTATGAAAAAGTAAGGGGTAAAAATGACTTTTGAATAGAAATGAGAAGTGTTTTTTGGAACGCATGAAAAAAAAAGGAGAAAGGTTTTCTGGGATGGAGGGAGTACATTTTTGGTTGCACCAAAATGGGATTTTTTAGTTCTTGAAAGCGCACACATGAATTCAACATTGGGGTTTTGTGTCAAAAAAAAAATAAAAACAAATTCAACTAAATGGAAATTAAAAAATTCAAACCAATAACAAATTGAATATTGGATGGTTCCCTCAACATTCTAGATGAATTAAACCTTGAATCAAAAACAGAGAGAGTGTGGAGAAGTAACTAGGGTTAAAAAAATTTGGGCCATCTCGAAGTAAATTAAAAACGGAGGAGAGGGTGTGGGGAACTTACCTCGTCGGGAGAGATGCAAACAAGGAGTGGAATCGTCGCAAGAGATTGCTAGATACGAGAGAAGCAGAGACGGATGGATGAGGCGGCTCCGTTAACTTGTGGTGAAGTAAATCTAAAATGTGATGATTTAATCTAATCCGTTGACTTAAAAAGTTATTACATCCAAAGGCTTAGATTTAAAATGTCATACCATGACATTTAGAGCAAATGTCAGTTGAACCCAGCCGTATACTTTTATGGTACATATTCATATTCTGATTTTTGCTTGTTAAATATACTTTGTTCTTATTTAAAAGAAAATATGCTTTTTCCTTGATAATCGATAAATAAAAGAAGAAGTTATAGCGAGAGAGAGCTATATTATTTAATAACTTTATTTTTATTTTTTCTTTAATTTGAATTTTTGAGTGATGTCTTCTATCATTTGTGTTGTCTTTTATTTTTTATTGATAAATTTACATATATGAAAAATAGTTTAGAGACAATAATGTTTTGAGTTTAAAAACAAATTTATTGCTTATGACAATGATCAATATATTATTCTGTGCTAATAAATTTATAATCATGATAATAATGTTTAAAAAAATTTATTTTTATTTTATTTTATAATTTTTTAATTTAAGTTTTTGATCAATTTCATAAATATAATTAATGTTAGTGTAATGTATGAATTTTTAAAATAATAAAAAAACCATGGATTATAAATAATCTACTAGAATCTTATGAAATCTCGTGATAAAATACAGTAAAATCTATCTAACTCTCTGTAAACTCTAAATAATTCATTGAATTTACAGAATGGACAGATTCTAAACAATCTATTAGAATCTAATAAAATCTAGATTGAATATACCCTCTTTCCTAAATGTGAAATGATACTTAATCAATAAGGATTACAAACATAATATTGGTAAATACTCCTTTGTCCAACAATTATCTTCTCATTGCGCATTACGATATTTGACTAAAATTATTTTTTAATCATTCGATTTGAAAAATGTGAGGGATTAAATAATAAAAATTATATATTTAAAAATTATATCAAAAGTTCACAAAACTAAAGATGACATGACCATATTATTTCATCAAATATACAACAAAAATAGGCCAACAAAGCATATCCAAATATAAAATTTGATCACGTTAATAGTGAAGAAGAATATTATTGTTGAACGGAGGAAGTATGAATTAAATAAAAATATCTTTAATTGTAAGAAAAAAAGACTAAAGTAGGAGTAAAACATTGAAAATATATTAAAATAGGAGTTTCATATTTTTATTTATGAAATACGAGTCAAAATGCATTTACATTATCAATCATAACCATGTACATTATCAAAAAGTATAATAAATTGTACATGTGTAGTGTCACATTACCATAGTGCGAATTTCTATTTAGGAAGATTAAATTGAAAATTCTATTTTGATACTTTCTATATGTTTTTATTCTTATTTAAAGTGATTCCTCTCCCTTTCCAACCAAACGCCCCTTACACCCCTGAGTAAACTATTACTCCCTCTGTCCCCTGTATTTGTCCACTTTCATTTTTACACATCATCCAATGCACTTCTCTATTTAGGCTTACACATTGAGAGAATTTGATGAGTCAAAATGCTTACATGAACCGTTCAAAAAGTCAAATGTGAACAAATACAGCGGAAGCGGAAGGAGTAATAGGAAGCGCCCTTATTCAAAATTCAAACGAAGGGACGCGCAGCGGACCGTTTCCCCGTCGGAGAGCCTAAGTCCGAAATTGAAATTCCCAATCGGTCACGCCTTCCCTATTTTGAAGTTATGCTGTGCGATGTCTGGTAAACAGTGGCTAGCTTCCTACACAACTAAGCTCTCTCTTCTCCGTCTCTATTGATCTACATACATATGTACGCAATTTGTCTTCTCTCCTCTCCCACAGCGAGTGAGCTTTTCTTGACGAGTTTCCACTCTCTACCACTAACCGCAGCTGTAAAAGTTCTACACTCACGCATACACAGGTTATAAGAAGCAGAAGCAATCAAATATTCAGCAAACCGGCAGAAGTCTTTTTTTTTTATCAGTTTTGAATTGAATCACATAGTGCTGGAAGTTTGCAAGGGAGACGATGAGACGCCATGGATGGCAGCGTCCTCTCCATCCTCTACAGGTTCTTTTGTCAATTGCTTCTGATTCTTTGTCGCCAAGTTAAATAGAGTGATTTTATGGTTTGTCAGTGTGGGGATTTTACTTTATCAGTTTGGATCTAATTGTTAGATTTAGTGTATCCGAAGATTCATGTAGAGAACTGTAGTCTGTAGAAGCACAGAATGGATGCTAGCAGCTTTTGGTCCATGCTAGAAAATCACTTCTTGTTTATGATTGCTGAAGGACTGAAAGTGAGTTTTTGAACTGATTTTTGTTCCCAACTGACTGCAGATCGTGGGCATGTCTGTCTTCTTTTTCCTCGTCGCAGCATTTTATTGCTTTCTGGGGCTTTTCCTTGGCAACAGGATTGCTGAAATTGCCATCACCAGTATTTTCTCCTTTGTGGTAATTTGATTACTATCTCGAAAAAGTTGTGTGCCAGGATGTGTGTGCGTGTGTGTATTTCCTATTCCGTAATGAATAATAAAAAGAGGTTTGCACCTCAAATATAAGGGTCCCTGCCTGCCTCCACCCCTAAAATGTTGATGAAGTACTTAAATGGTCCAGCAACTGGCCCAGGAGACATGGTCTGGTTTATGGGGTTTGATCTCCGGTCACCCTGTTGATAAGGGAAGGCGAGGATCATCAGGCAATTAGAATCCCTAAGAATAATCATCACTTTAGAGGAGGGAGTTATTGTTTTGTAAAATGGGAGAACATGTTAAAAAGCATAGATAAATATAATTCTTTTTCTTATGGTACTGCAGGCCTTTTCTGTTGCATTCCTATTCGTAAGCTGTGCCGCTCTTGATCCTACTGATAGGACCGTATATAGAAAGAAAACTAAGGGAAAATCCACTGCATTTCGAAAGTTAAATTATGGCTTCCTATTGGCTCAAGTTGTCCTAAGGGTTTTCAGGAAGGTAGAGCGGAAAATTCTTGGAACTTTTATAAGGAGAAAGTACCCAAGTCTTTGGAAAAGTAGCCTTCTAAGGGAGCCTTTGTTCTCGTTCCCCCTTGTTATCGATGATTCAGTTGCACCCGAGATCAGGGAGGATGAAATTTCTTTTTGCCTACTCTGTGATTTTGAGGTTTGTCTTGATGGAATTTGTTGACTAGTTTCTACTTATTTACCATCTTCAGACACCCTATGAAAATTAAATTTTCTATGCTGGGACTGGATGACTTGCAGGTGAAAAAGTACAGCAAGCACTGTAGAACTTGCAATCGTTGTGTTGAGGGTTTTGACCATCACTGCAGGGTAACAAAATAAGTTTTCCACTTCACTAAATGTGCCACTTTGCTTATAAGATGTGCCTAATAATGGGCATTTTATGTATTGGCATAATTGCAGTGGTTGAACAACTGTGTAGGGAGAAAGAACTACACAACCTTCATTCTGCTGATGGTTTTTGTCTTGACAATGGTTGTAACTCGATTTCTGTGTACAGCTCTAATGCTCTATGTATCTGTTCCTGCACGTTTATTGCTAAGAAATGGTTTTCATTTCGGAATGTCTTATGCAATGCAGCTTATGATTGAAGGAGGAAGTGCTGTTGCTATATTTGTCAGGTGCTTTGTTAATAGGAAAGGGATAGAAGAAGAGTTCAAGAGCAGATTCCATTTAAAGTTTCCCAGAGGAGTTCTTGCAACTGCATCGGTAATTCTTTTGAGAGCAGATTTGATTGTCTACCTTCCAAAATTTCTCTAATTTTACACTATGTTTGGTTCAAGGAATTTGAAAGGGAAAAGAAAAGAAAATGAGTGGGAAAATAATTTTTAATGTTTTGTTAGAGAGGAAAAGAAAAGAAAATGAGAAGGTAAAATTACTAAGAGGGAAAACCAAATTCCTCCCGTCTTGGTGAGGAAAACGAGAGAAAACCATTTTCTTTTCGTTTCCTTTCAAAATCCTCGAACCAAACATAGTGTTAGAGTTATGATAACATGTCAAGAACTAATCACTCTATGTGTTACTTTTTACATGTAACCAAATATTTAGAGTAATACTCATTACTCCCCGAATGGGTTTGTTATACGTCAAAGGGTATGTCTGACAATTCGTGTAATATTATTCTCCAAATACATTACAACAACAAAAAATAACAAACTCAGTAAAATTCCATAGAGTGAGGTCTAGAGAAGGTGGATGTACGCAGACCATACCCTTATGTGGAGTTGAGAAATTGTATCCAAGAGACCCCAGCTCAAAACACACCCTAGGAACCCGAAGTACACTCTTCATTCTCTAATTACAGTGGACATTTAACTTTTGACTTCCCAAAATGGAAAGATGGACAATTAATCCGGAATCCTGATAGAGGGAGTTTTAGTTTTTCAATATATGTATGGACGGTCACTTCTATCAGTCCAGTAATCAATGCACATCTCAGGTTCTATTGTTCTTGATGAGCACATATGGTGCAGCAGCACTGGGACAACTTTTTTTCTTCCATATGGTTCTCATCCGAAAGGGGATGAGAACCTATGATTATATTTTGGCAATGAAAGAGGAGAACCAATCTATGGAGCTGGAATCACTTGAAGATTCAGAGTCTTCTTCAGATGAGAGTATTGACTTTGGTTCGCCTGAGAAGAAGCAGCCATTTACCTCCCAACTTAAATGCTCAGGAGGAAGAAGAAAAACCCAGGTGTAGTATTGCCTGTTTCAGTCAGTACATCCTCTCATTTGTTGTCTCACTTTTACATTCACCTGATAGGTTATTTATTTGTACGTGTTCAAGCTTCGGTAAATAAATTTCTTTTGCTTCCCACCGAGGTGTGTTGTCGTCGTTGTATTTATAAAATGTTTCATTGCAGAGCCCTCACAGGTTATCCATAAGAATAGACGGAGAATCTGAATCGTCCAAGCTGATGAAAAAACTGGGTTCCCGGGCAAGCATTGATCCGTGGAAGCTGATAAGAATGAGCAAAGAGAAAGCACTACACGCCGCGGCGAAGGCAAGGGAGCGGCTTGTAATGAATCAAAAGGAATTGGGTGATGATGATCATGCACTGAACTTGAAGCCACTGCCTCTAGAAACAAAGAGAGGGCCTCTGATGCAAAATGACAAAGATGGCATTACGCCCATCATCATCTCCAATGGACAATTCTCAAGCCCGAGGAGGAGATTCTCTTATTCTCCAACATTATTAACGCCGAAACAGAGGTACAGAAGTAACTTCGATTTGAAATTAACACAGGTCTCTACACAGCTCGAGACTTACATATCAAGGCAGGCATTGTCTTCTGTTTTGACCAAAGATGGGACACCATCAACATAGCTGAAAGGAAGAAAAACGGAAGGGTCTGGGTGGACTGGTCATTGTTTTTCATTCAAGTGTTTATGAGATGTAAAGCAAAACATTCACAAACGGAAAGATAGATGATCACCACCTCTGTTTTCAAGATTTTCTACAACACCCTTACATTTTCTCTCTTCAAATTGAACCGTTTCTTTTTTACTTGTGTACCGCTTGAGCCCGGTTTATTCTTTTTGGAATCTGCCAAGACGACGACTTTGCTCGAATCGAAGCTTCTTCTACAATTGTTCGTGTGCAGAACTATAGGATGTAAGATAAAAATTATTCAATTTTTGTGAGCAATTTTTTGAAATCTAGCAAATTCTTGAATGCTGCGTCCTAGGAGATTTGAATTTTGATTGGAAGTTCTCTTTTTTGTTCCAGCCAAGGAAATCTCTAACCTGTTCGTTGTACGACCAATATTTTGAGACAGTCAATGGAAATAATTTAGGTAGGGTTTGGCAACTTGCATTTTATTTCAATTCATGTATTTCAATTCGAAAATTTGAAGTCTTGAATTTCAAATGATAAGGGGAGGTGCATGGATTTCAAATTATGCTTTGTTACGAATGAGAAGAATTTGATTCAAATTCAAATTCAAAATTTTTAAGTTTCTCAAACATAGAATTTGAGCCAAATCCGGATTTGAAATCCAAATCCATGTTTCCAAACATACTATTATTGAATTTATAGTACTACTTTCGTTTTATAAAACGATTCTTATTTTGATTTTAAGAAAAAATAAGAAGTGTATATTTTGTTCCTGATGTGGGTAAAAGTAAGATGAAGATGTGATGGATAGGTTATAAGTAAAAAAGTATAATATGATAGATGAGCATGAAAAAATAATGATAAAAGTGATTTTTTAATAGAAAGTGGAAGTATTCTGGGAAAACAAAAAAATAAAAAAGAAAATATTTTAAGAAAAGGAGAGAGTATATTTCCTTTATATATAAATTTGAGAGTTTGGTCTCTAAGAGAATGATATGCATCAAAATTGACAGAGTGACATTTGTTAATATTTAGAAAATAACATGTGGTAATCTTTAAAGATTTATTTTCTTTTTTAGTAATTCATCTCCTTCTCCTTCCTTCTTCAATTATTTCATCCTTTTTACTATTTTTTAAAAAATGATAACTAATTATTCTGAAATCATGAATCAAAATTTAGAATTAATAGAATTTGTAAATTTTAATAAAATTTTATTTTATCATAAGTATACATGAATATTTTTTAATACCTGGCTCGGATTTAATAAATTATAAAATTTTCGAACAAACTTTTAGGCATATGAATGTTTTTTAAAAAATAAATTGTTGTAATCATGTCAATTATAATCACACAATTCATCAAAAGATCTAAAAAATCATGTTATTTGTCAAATGATCAACAAAAACATATTTAAAAAATTAGTCAATAGAATTAAAAGCAGAACAAATTAAAACAAAATTAGAATTTCAAGCATTTATTAAAATAATCAGTCAATAAGATAAAAAGGAAAGAAAATCATTTTTTATAGAAAAGTTAACAGAAAGTAAACAAGCTAAAACAAAATGAAAATCTTTAGCATTTATTGATAATAGTTTGATCTACTTATAATTATAAACGTATTTAATACAAAATAAATTTAATAATTTTTTAAAAATATATCAACTACTGAACTTAAATTTTATAAAGATTTCTCTTAATATATAATAAACCGTTTCTATAATAAATAAGATATTCTGTCCACCTCTATAAATTTTCCAATTCTTTAATTTATACGGATAATTTGATATAAAGAAGTTACTTACTCTATCCGTCCCCCAGTTTTTGTCCACTTTTGACTTTTGGAATTGTTCATCTAAGCACTTTGACTCATCAAATTCTTTCAATGTGTAAGCCTAAATATAGTCATGTGTGATCTTGTTTGATTTGTCTTAACATATAGATTATTAATATATAATTTCTATAATTTTTTAATATACAAATTAGAAGATTAAATGGATTAAAGAAGTGCATTGGATGGTGTGCAAAAATTAAAGTGGACAAAAACTGGGGGACAGAGGGAGTATTATTATATATATTTAAATAAAAAATATATATTTAAAATACAAATAGTATTTAATAAAGAATCATTACTTCTTTATAGATAAAAATGATACTTAGATCACTAAGTATATATTTAATAAAAAAATATATTTAAAAGAAAAATATATATATATATTAAGCAAACCTTTTATTATACTACTTTATCAAATAGTATATATTTAGACTAGAAGAATATTAATATAATCCACATAAAAATTTAAGACAAATAAAGAATCACTAATTCTTTATATATAAAAATCATACTTAGATCACTAAGAAACTAACATATGTCATTTTTATCCAGCTTTTTTAAACACTGATAAGTCGGGTTTAGTTTGGTTCTTTTTATTCTTTTTTAGGCATTTTTAATATTTTTAGACTTTGATTTTTAGTTGTTTAGCTTAGTTTTATTTTAATTTTCATTTTTTAAATCTTTTATTTTTCTGTCATAAATAGTAGTTTTTAATCATTTCTTTTTACATTTTATTATTTTTATTTTTATTTTTATTTTTTCTAACCCAAAATTATCAGATATCTTATTTTTTGGAGAAAAATGTAACAAAAGGCCAAAACGAAGTTCAAGTTTGAATTGAGGAGTTGGAGATGAAGGAACCGCCAGAGCTTTTGACGCCGCCACCATAGCTGGGGAAATCACACGGAAATAAAGCAGCAGCCAAGCTGCTGCAATGACGGGTAACAACGAAGAGAAGTGAGCAGCGGCCAAGCCGCTGCTATGCTGGCGGCCGGCGACAAGGCTGAGTCTGGCGGCAGTAGCTCCGGGCAGAGGCAAGACCATGGTTCCTCCATCACGGCTCCAATTCCTTCAATTTGTTCATCCTCTTCAACAATTGGTAACCCTATGTTTGTCAATTTCTTTTTTCTTCTCCAATCCTATGTAAAAGTTTGTTTTTGATTCAATTTTACATTTATTATTTGTTAGTTTGTTCCAAAAGTTCTAAAAAAATCGTTGGTGTTCTTCTTTTATGGGTTTTTTTAGTGTTTATATTAAATCCCTTATGAATGAAAATTGAGTCAAACTAGTTTTCTTCAATTATTGAGCAAGTTGTTGAATTGGTTGAATTGCATAATTTGATTTCATTAGTGGGTTGGTATGTGGAATTCGGTTTTTGTTGAAGCTATTTTAGCTCCATAAAGTAGTTAAATGAACTCCGAATTCATACGTGATTCTTTGTTGTGTTTGTGTTTGTTGATTTTAAGAATTTTGGACTTCTTAGCCTCATAAGTTGATTCATTATGCTTTGAATTCGTTATTAAGTGATAGTGTATGTTTTCATGTGCTTCTTTGTTATTTTCATTAAAATTAAGGTTATTTAAGCTCAAAAATAATTCTTGGTTTATTGAAAATATGTCGTGTTCATTTATGTGAATAGAAAATACGTCATTGGTTTGAGAAGTTCATGGAAATCTGTGAAATGTGCTCATGATTAGGAGTAAAAGTTTGTTAAAATGCATAAGGTATTGGCGATTTGTGAATAGATTATATATGGGAGTTGAATGCATAATAGATTCTCTCTTTTATAAACTTTTTCTATAGTGGAAGTATGTTTTCATGCTTGAATAGAGAGGTTGGGTTCTAAGGTATATTTCAAAACAGGCCTTTGAATTGCATGACTCCGGGCCGTATGGAGAGTTGACAATCCTTCATATCGTGGTTAAGGAAATGAATCGACTCGGCCTTTGATTGATTTTTTCTATTCTTAAGTGCGTAAGTTACGTAATATATTGTCTACGTGCCTATTATACGTGTAATGTTCGGCTTCTGTTCTCTTTTTTATTTTGTTTTGGGTTCTTGGAGGTGTTTCTTGGGTTACCCTTGTTGGAGGAGTTGATTATCTTTTGAGCTTGTTTTCCCCCATTTTATCAAAAAAACAAAAAATAAGAAAAATAAAAAATAAAAAAAAATATATTTACTTTTCATCCAACAACCCCCCTTGTTATGTTTTAAGTTTTAGTATAAGTGTTTGTTTATAAGTTATAAATATAAGTTCTTTATACTAAATAATTGTAATTATCTATTAATTACAAGTATTATCTATTAATTAAAAGTTTTACTAAGAATCAAGAGACCAAAAATAATTGTAACCCATGTATTGTTTTATGACATGTTTAGATGAAATTAGATTTGATTCTATTTATTTTAATATTGATGTAAAAATAAAACCAAACAATATATTTAAAAAACTACATTAAGAAAATATAAAAAAAGATATAACTTCACCATATTTTTTAAATAGAATATGCTTTTAAATAATAAATAAATATATTCGTAATTTCTTGTAATATGTTTAGACAAAGCCCGTTTAATTGAATTAATTTAAATATTTACACATAGTAAATAAAATATTTTCCTCACCTATAAATAAATCTCATATTTTTCTAGAACACAATATGCCACCTAATTTAGGACATATAAAACGTAAAATCAATTGATGCTCCGACATAAGTGCATCGACGTCGTCCAACCAATCTGTAATGTTTTTGAGATTCTGATAATATGTGGCCATATGAGTAGTTCCTTTGATGATAGTACGAAATTTCTGTTCCAATTGCATAGCACGTGCATGTTTGTTGTCTTGAAACAGATCGTGAATTACTGTCTAGAGAGTAGAGGCAGTATAGGCAGAAGATCCTTCTCTTCGTCTCTTCCTCTTCTGTTTTGAAGTCCTACCAGGCGGGACCGGCTGTGAAGGTTTTGTATACTTCAAATGTAACGCCACGAAACATGGCCTAAATTTTATAAAACAAAAGTAGTTTTGAATATTTTTGTCCAATAAGAAACATTTATACGTTTGACTAAAAATAAATGGATTTTCAAAATAATGACTTTTTATTAAAAACTTACTTTTATGGATATGTCTCGAAGAGACGAATCCAACGGTACATTTTATGAACCAATCTGATTTATAGATTTGAAGATATGACGATTTTAAATATTAAAATTTGTAACTTTGACCCATAAAATAAACTCAATTCAAAAGAGATTTCATAAGATTAGAAATCTTAATTTTTGACACTTGACAACATCATATTAATCATTTGGATTTAATTCATATATTTTTATATCATTTATATTATTATATTAATTTATGATTGAGACAGATCCGAACACTGAGAAAAAAATAAAAGTTCTCAGAAAAATATTTTGATTACGTCGAAATTCTAATTTTGACAGTCTTATTCCAAAAACACAATCTGTTTTCAATTCGGAACAATTTGGGCGAAAAAGCGCGTACCGTTTGGAATAAACTGTTCAGTTTTGACAAGAAGCCAAAACTTTATTTTCCCAAATCCCTTCCAAATCACGTAGCCACTCTTTTGCTCCACTAGCCACCACAATTTTCCACTAAAGTCAAGATTTCCAATATAATACTCCACCTCCACCACCAGCATCATCATTATACACCATCATCATCCATCATCTCCTTCATCCATTCCTCCCTCTCCATTTTCTCTCTCTGTCGGCGAAACAAAAGGAAAAGAAAAGAAAGCTTAAACTCCATAGTTGGTTCAAGGAAGAAGAAGAGGAAGCAACAAATCATCTAAAGTTCTAAAATCCTGAGTTCAAACACAGCAGCCCACTTCTAGGTAAAAACTGAAATTTTTTATCCATTATCTCGAAATACTTTCTGAACCAAAGTTGTAGCCTCGGACAATACGAATCCAGCCCAACAAACGGATCGCGATTTCGTTAAGTAACGAAGAAGATATGGCCAAAATACCGGGACTGCGCCAGTGGTGGCGAGCTCCTCGGGTTGGCATGTGTTTCTTCACCAAATTCATATTATTTCATTCCAAATACTTACCATAAACTCTCTAACAATTATTAGGAACATCCGGAAGGTATCGTAGAGAAGGTTCAGCATTGGAATGTTGAAGTTAGTGAGTTAATCGTCGGAATCGTGTTCATCGACATATTCAAAATTCTGGACAGCTACTTTCCCTTGACTTCAAGTCCGATTTACGCTATCTTACATATGTTAAATCGAAATACTTTCTATACGAAAGTTATAGCCTTACATCTTAGGAATCCACAGAATCAAACGGTTTACAATTCCGTCAAGAAACAATGGAGATATGCCCAAAATACCGCAGGCTGTCCAGTTGTGACGGAAATGACAAAGTTGGCGAATTTTGATGTTGTTTCCACTCCCGCTCATCCGTAAGGTTTCGGCCTATGATTTCCAGGTCTGTACCTTTGCGTTAGACATGTCGAATCATTCATCACATACATACATGAACATATATGTTATTCCATATGTTAAAACCATTCCAAAATATACATGTGATACATATATAAGTTATCTATATGTTGAGATCAAAATACACCAAATCCATAAAGTTAATATACAAATAAGTAAATATAAACTTTGGAAATCAACCCAACAATATGTATATGTTAATCAAAGGTGCTTAAAAGACTTAAAGAAGTATTTTGGACACTCAAAATATCAAGAGAAAGATTCGCAGACCCAAACGGTCGACGCAAACGATCGACCGTCGCGTTAAACATCGAAATGGACCCTGACTGTCAGACAAATGGTCGACCGCCGGTGGCCAACGGTCGACCGTCGCCTGCCCAGCCGAGAATCGCCGTCGCCATCCAGTCAACAACGGTCGACCGCCGGTCAACCACGGTCGACCGTCACGGTTTTCCGCCAGCGCGACGTAATGAAGGTCGAGGTCAACCATCGCGCCAAACGGTCAACCGTTCCGAGCCTCGTAGCTTAATTAAATGATATTTTTATCAGATTTCACCCAAATAAAATAAAGTATATTCATCCAATCATATTGTTTACAAATTGTTCATATCATATGATTCATTTCATCACACATATTGTAGCGTATCATATCATATGCATGCGTAAGAGATCATGCGTAATTGCGTCTCTTACAGCGTGATGTGCGGGACTTACTAGTCCGACATCACCCGTTCCGGGCTTAGTGTACGTACATGGTATTCAGGTTTCGAGTACCACCCCTATTTTTCTAGTCTCACCTCATTCGTGAGACTAAGGCCGCGTGAGTTCGTCGTACCAAATGGGCGAATCTCATAGCGCAAGGGTGTCCTTGCAAGTTATAGGATCATGCATCATGTTATCATCATCAAGTACATTGATTACATAGGTGTCATGTAATCATCATCAAGAACAAATATATTGATTACATAGGTTTCATGTAATCATCATCAAGAACAATTATATCTATTACATCAGTGTCATGTAATCATCCTCACGAACAAGCAAATTGATTAAATGTGCCATCATTTAATTATCAATAAATATTTATCATCATGAATCATCAAATTGATCATATGATATAATGTGCCATATCATGAATATTATTATACACCTTGTGGACGTATATATATGTATATGTATATGTTTGTTAATTATTCTAGAATTCTAGCGTGGTACCACTCAGCGGTTTCGCTGAGCGTGTAGTTTGTATTTTCCGTTGACTACACGTAGGTAACAAGAGGACAATGAAGGAACCACTCCCGGAGGGCATTGAGTCAGAGGAGATGCAAGGATGGTAGGCAAATGTTTGATCATCAAAGATTTTAAATGTGTCATGATTTAATTATTATTGTACTTCCGCATTACTCTGAAAATATTTTTAAATGGGTCGCGATCCAGAGTCTGTAAATTTAATATTTATAAGTAATTGTCATTTTCAGATGTCAAGCGAAATTTTTATTTAACTCTCATTTCACCTTAATTCGTGTAATTCCGGGTTATACGGATTGGGGTGTTACATCAAAGGCCGTACCGGTAGGAAATTTATTTCCGACGTCCCCCAAAGTATCCGGGGATGGAAGGAAAAATTTGTTTTCATTGAGTTTCCCCCGTTTGTCACTCCATTGGCCGGTCTGAAATGGAACGACCATCTTCTAAACCATGAGTATACCGTGCCGGATTCCTCTCGTGATCTTGAAGCGAGTCTCGAGATCCTTCTTCGAGGCGACCCGTTAATCGGGAGGAAGTTGCACTACGGGAGCTGGGTCTGGAGGGTCGAATCGGGTGGTGAGGGTACCTCCCAGGCCCATGAAGCAGCGGGGCACGGGGTACCCTCCCCGGGCAACACTGCAGAGGCTGAGGGCAACTCCCACCTAGGTATTTATGATTCACTTCGTACACTTCTTTTCTTAACCGGTCACGTTTGTCATACTTAGCGATTTTTCTGGTTTTCGCAGACATGGAGTTCGAGGAATTCGCCATTCCTGACGACCAACCAGCGGGAGAGACCGGCGGTTCTCAAGGTGCTTCCGCCAAAACTTTCACGGTCCAACTAGAGATCGTGGAAATCCACGATGAGGAAGAGCCTGAAGATGACCGGTCCAAAGGGAAAGGCAAAGAGAAGGCCGATCGCCGGACCAAGAAGGTGACCACTACCCATCCCTCTTTCAGCAAGAAGAGGCAAAGAGCGGATCCTAACACAGCTTCCCAATCTGTTGAGGAAGCCTTCATTTACGTCGGTCTGAAACTGAAAGAGGTAAGTTGAATTTGATTCCCCGGTTATTTCGGTCTCCATTTTTCATGAAACTTTAACCGGTTGTGTTGTGCATGATGTAGGTTGGAAAAATCGAACCCTTACTGCGGACCGGCTGGGGTTAGGCTCTCCTTCAGAACTTGACCGGCTGAAGAAGAAGAAAGAGGAGATGGCCCTCATCTTGAAGAGTCAAGCAGATGAGCTGATTAGGCTATCAGGGCTGGTCGGGGCGATGAAAGAGGAGATCTCCCAACTCAAAGAAGAGAATGGCCGGCTGATGGACAAGGTGTCTGAAGCCAAGAGGGATGTGGCGGAGAAGGAAGAAACTTCCCCAAGCGTCAGCCGCCTGGGTTGAAGAAAACAAAGCTGACGCTACCCGGGTGCTCACGGCGACTCCAGAGGCAACCATGGAATCCTTCAGGATGCTGTACCGGGAACCTCAAGGAAAGAAGATGATCACTGCGATTGGATCGTTTGGATTCAAGAGCGGTCAGAAGAAGGACCAGATTGCTTCTCACCGGGTCTTGCTGAGAAGAGACCCAGATTTCAGCGTTGCCTCCTACGGCCTGGATCCCATCCCAGAGGAAGAGCCTACTACCCCCTTCTCCTTAGACTAGGATCTCCTCGACTGCGCCCGGTTGTTTCAATTTGTCCCCTTTTAACAACTCTCAATTTCCCCGGGTATGCCCGATGTATTTTGTAAACATTTTAGCATTCAACTTTTAATGTTTTTAATGCATGTTTACTTTTCCACCCGGCCATAGTGGTTTTCTCTCTGAATGTTTCTCTGACCGGTACACCTGCAAGCAATCTCTTCAACTATTACTTTTGAACATCTGATTAACTGCTGCCAGTAGAACTTCAACTTTTGCTTTTGAATGTCTTTATCTTGAAGATCAACTTGAATAATCTTGACCGGTTGAACTTCGACTTTCGCTTTTGGATACCTTCTTTCTGACGATTGACCGGTAGTTTCCTTCTTCATGGTCCTACCAGTTAAGTGATTTACCTCGACGAACTTTCGAAGTTCAATTGTATTGATACCCAACCGGGGTATTCCTTTTTCTTGTTTCACCGGTAGGTTGTAGATGGAAACACCTGTAACCTAGTAATTACTTGAAGTATCCTTAACCGGTAAGAATACTGGAGATTTAACCATGTCGAATGGTTTTGAACCCTCTCCAAGGTTCAAATGCACCCTTCTTTCAGGGCCCTCTCTTCCGGGTGATTAAGTCTTTTAATGGCCCTTTGATTTCTACTATCCCGAGAAGGCCTTAGCTCACCCCCCGTTCAATTCTATCCTGAGAAGGGGGAATCCGAACCGGTCGGAATAGGTTGCGTCACGGTGGACGACCCTCTTCTATTTATTTTAATGGGCATCTTTTAGTCCTTAATTAGTTTGCCAGTCTCGGCTAATTCCCCGATACCGGTCAAACCTCATGGGCCCGTGTAAGTACGGTTCGAACCTTCTTCCAGGTCCAGCCCTCTTGCAGGCATACCCCTCTTCCAGATGTTATCATTTTTTTTATTATACTGAGCAAGACCGGTGTAGTAACTAGCGAGCCAGGTCCGGGCCTGTGTCTCAGTTGGCTTATCCAAGTGGATTCGATCCACCCGGGAAGCCCTCCCAGGATAGGTTCGACCCATCAATTCTGCTGCTACCAGGTTGAGTATTGAACTTCCTCAATTCGATTGATAATAAAAGTAGGCTTTGCCTAGTATTACAATCACTTGTAGAATTTGCGAAGATGATGGGAATTCCAAGTTCTTTCTACCAGTACACCATCTAAAGTTTCCAACCGGTAGGTGCCCGAGCGAATGATGGCTTTCACCCTGTATGAGCCTTCCCAGTTTTTTGCCAGCTTTCCTCCATCACCCGGTCTACTAGCCTCTCTTCTTCGCAGGACTTCATCCCCAACTTGGAAGTATCGCGGTCCAACCTTGTTGTCATGGTATTTTTTTCACGACTTGTTGGTAAGTGCTCATTTTAACTTCCGCAGCCATCCTTCGTTCTTCAACCAAGTTGAGTTCGGCTAAATGGTCTTCTTCATTTTGTTGGGGTTGATAATTTGATTCCCGGAATGTTGGGAATTCAGCTTCGATGGGTAATCTTGCTTCACACCTATAGGTTAGGGAAAATGGAGTTTCCCCATGAGCCCTCCTGGGTGTTACTCGAAACGCCCAAATGATATGTGGGAGCTCTTCTAGCCACTTGTTTCCTGCTTCTCCCAGCTGTTTCTTTAGACCATCCACAATTGTTCGGTTGGCGTTTTCAACTTGACCATTGCTTTGGGGGTATGCCACCAAAGAGCGATTGTGCTTGATTCCGAAACCCTCCAAGTATTCCGTGAATTTCGGATTTCGGAATTGTGGGCCGTTGTCGGTGATGAGATTCATGGGAGCTCCAAACCTCGTGATGATGTTCTTCCAAATGAATTTCTTACACTGTTGTGTGGTGATGTTGGCCAACGCTTCGGCTTCAATCCATTTGGTGAAGTAATCGATGGCCACGATTACAAACTTTTTCCTTCCTTGAGCTATTGGGAAAGCTCCGATGATATCAATCCCGAATCTAGTGAATGGGATGACATTCGATACGGGGTGGTAGTATGTCGCCGGTCTACCCGGATACTTGTAGAAGACTTGGCATGTCCTGCATTTCCGAACATACCTCTCACAATCCTGGACGATTGTTGGCCAGTAGTACCCCAGCAGTATGATGCGCTGGGATAGGGTGCGAGACATTTGATGAGCCGCACACACACCTTCATGGACTTCCGCAATGACTCTTTCGGCTTCCCGGTTGGTTAGGCATCTCAAGAGTGGTCCCCCGAATGCCTTCTTGTACAGCTTCCCATCAAGGACTTGGAACCGGGGTGCCCTGAGCTTCACCTTTCTTTCCCGGTCATCTTGCTCTGGCAAGCTTCCGTCCATCAAATACTCCATAAGATCCATCATCCAATGGTCATCCGCCCCGATCATATACTTAAAGTATATTATGCAACAATAATATTTTTCAAAACACATTATAGTGATAATGTTTTTAAAGGATATTTACATATCGCTTTAAAATATTTTCATATTGTTTTAAAATATTTTCGTAAATATTAATTTCATAGTTATTTTTATAAAAAATGGTAATACCGTGGCAATATATAATATTTAAAAATGAAAGGGAACTTAAGCATTTAATTTATTCGTGGCTCTAGATATCACTTTCAAGGACATACATTAAATGTATGAGACATTAATATTTAATACATTGATGGTAGTTTTCTTGAGCCTCCCAAAATTTGATTTAGTTCTTGAAGTCCATAACAATCAATTTTTCAGAGCTATTTTGCTCCTTGCATTAACCAATATTTATTGGCTCTATGTAATAATAAATTAAAATGAAATGAATGACATTAATGCCCTACATTGATAAGTACAATTGAACCGAGAGATATGAGAGATAAGTTATGCATTCAACTATATTCCCGCTCTAGATACCACTTTTCAAGGACATGCATTAAATGCATGAGATATTAATAAACCTACGTAGAGTTTTCTTGAGCCTCCCAAAATATGATTTAATTCTTGAGCTCCAAAACAATCCACTTTTCAATGCTTCAAATATTGATATTTTTGATACAAAACTATAGAGATAGGTATGGATTGGAAAAACAATGAGATAGGTGTAATTGTTATTTTGGTGGCTCAATGTAAGCGAGATAGGTGTAATTAATATTTTAGGGCTCAATATTAAGTTATAGAGATTAACCGGGGACGCAACATAAACATTTAATTGATTGTATTAGTTCGTGGCTCTGTGTATGACAACTCTTATTTTACAGTTTTTTTGTTCTTTGCATTAATCAATATTTATTAGCTCTAGGTCATAATAAATTGAAATCAAATGAATAACGTTAATGGCCTACATCGATCAGTACAATCAAATCAAGAGATATGAGAGCAAAGTTATGCATTTAATTAGGTTCATGGCTCTATTAATATCAATGCTGATATGAAGGGCATTATATCAATGCATTAGCCGTTAATAAAATGACGTGACTTGTTCTTAAGCCTTAAAAATTTGATATAATTCTACACTTTCCAAAGTGAAAAGCACGATAGTTTGGATGCAAATACATAGTAATCAAAGGCTTTCTTTTGTAATACCCAATGAAAGACTTAATTGGTTCGTGGCTCAATGTATGTATGGCTTGACAGTATCAAGTTTAAGTAACAAGTTTAAGAAGTTGAGAGATGGGCAAGTGATTAGAAAAACGGCATCCCCGACCAATTTCATTGACCTCGATCGTCAAAGTGGATATCAAAACTTGAAAAGTTAACTTCTTGAGGGGAAAGAGATAAGTAGTAATAGTATATTCATGATTCACATATACTACAGTACATCCACTTGGTAAAAATACACACATGCTAAAATTACACAATTTCTTTGGTTAAGCAAAACAGTGAGCACCTCGAGTCAGCTCAGCTAAAAAAAACATTTTACACAAAGGAATGCACCCATCATTCAGATGAAGTTGAGAAACTTCAGACCAGATTGTCATATAGTAGCTCAAGGGAACTGGAAACTCAGGTAATCTTGGTGCCCTGTGGGAGGGTACATGTACAGTGCAAGCAATGAAATGATGATGCATATGAGTGCAGACCAAAGAAAAACTATAGTTGGAATCTTTCCCCTTCTCCCCATCAAGCCCTTCGAAAAGGGATACAGATGAGAAAGCACCCAGAAACTGAAGAACACCCCTCCAAGCAGCTTACTCCACTGTGGGAAAGGACTGTACAGGGTCCTGAATACCGCGACCGCAATGGCGATCAAGTTGAGCAGGATGATTGTGATGGGAGGAATCATCAAGACCGTCCACCTGAACTCGTACAGCTCTGCAAACTCGTCCTCCCCATCGTCCGGAGCTGCTGATTTCGACGTCAGTGTGAAGTTGATGTCCACCCCTGCAATGACCTTCAAGAGCCCTTGTATGACTGCTGCAGGGTGTGCACTGGTCCCACCTATCAGCCAAAACTGCTCGTTTCGCCACCAGTCGTGGAGAGTGATTCCGGACCATTTGATTTCTAGGATCGCCAGAAGGCATAGGGTGAGAGTTATGGCCAGCAGGAAGGCTAGAAACGTCACGTTGAGGGACTCCACGATGAACTTCCCGGAGAAGAGGGAGAGTGCTGGGAGAATGCAGTAGACTAGGAGAAAGATGGAGGTGAAGGGATACATCCCGACATTGAAGTAAGCCACCCGTTGTAGGAACTTCATCCTCGGGCTGGCAAACAGCGCGTTGTTTCGAGAGAAGAAAATCTCGACAGAACCCGTGGCCCACCGTAGGACTTGGATGAGCCTATCTGTCAGGTTGATGGGAGCTGTCCCTCTGAAGGCGTCCCTTTTCGTGACGCAGTAGATTGATCTCCAGCCCCTATTGTGCATCCGGTAACCCGTCACCACATCTTCAGTGATGGAGCCGTATATCCACCCCACTCTTCGCCCCCACTCTGTTTTCTCCTCATAATAGCAACTTATCACACTGACTGCTTCAGCAAGAGCTGAAGCATCTAATGGCTCACGCTGCACGGCCAGAGATCCAGCTGGCCTTCCCGGGCAACCCTTCCCCCGCAGCTCGTGCAGCAGCCTACCACCAAACTCCGCCACGGCAATTGAGTCAACGAGAGCAACTGAGTTACCAAACTGCTTTGGAAGCAAAGCTCTTGCCATATCTTCTTCTTCGTCGTTGTGAGCTCCAATGGTTGGCAGAGCCATTTCCTCGTC